TATTCTTTGATTTAACATATTCCTCGAATGAGTGGTGATAGTAAGTCATACCAAAAAGAATACCCCGGAACTTAAATCCCCTACAGGTGTAAAGATTCTCATTCTTGATTTGACCTGAATTTCAGCTATTTTGGGATAGGCGTGGCCTCTGGGAGTGGCCTGAGTGAGTTGAGAGGTCGAAAATTGGTTTTTATGATGGTTTGGGATAGGCAGTACCCATTTTTATACTAAAACATGGGCCACCTACCCCGGAACATAAATCGCATACGGGGGTAAAGATTCTCAGTCTGGATTTTAGCTGGATTTCAGTAATTTTGGGATGGGCGTGGCCCCTGGGAGTGGCAAGAGTAGTTTGAGAGGTCGAAACTTGGTTTTTATGATGGTTTGGGATAGGTAGTACCCATTTTTATACTAAAACATGGGCCACCTACCCCGAACATAAATCGCATACGGGGGTAAAGATTCTCAGTCTGGATTTGTATGGGATTTGACCTGGATTTGAGCTATTTTGGGATGGGTGTGGCCCCTGGGAGTGGCCCGAGTGGTTTGCGAGGTCGAAACTTGGTTTTTATGATGGTTTGAGATAGTCAATACCCATTTTTATACTAAAACATGGGCCACCTACCCCGGAACATAAATCGCATACGGGGGTAAAGATTTTCAATCTTGATTTTACCTGGATTTCAGCTATTTTGGGATGGGTGTGGCCCCTGGGAGTGGCCTGAGTGGTTTGCGAGGTCGAAACTTGGTTTTTATGATGGTTTGGGATAGGCAGTACCCATTTTTATACTAAAACATGGGCCACCTACCCCGGAACATAAATCGCATACGGGGGTAAAGATTCTCAGTCTGGATTTGACCTGGATTTCAGCTATTTTGGGATGGGCGTGGCCCCTGGGAGTGGCCTGAGTGGTTTGAGAGGTCGAAACTTGGTTTTTATGATGGTTTGGGATAGGCAGTACCCATTTTTATACTAAAACATGGGCCACCTACCCCGGAACATAAATCGCATACGGGGGTAAAGATTCTCAGTCTGGATTTGTATGGGATTTGACCTGGATTTCAGCTATTTTGGGATGGGCGTGGCCCCTGGGAGTGGCCTGAGTGGTTTGAGAGGTCGAAACTTGGTTTTTATGATGGTTTGGGATAGGCAGTACCCATTTTTATACTAAAACATGGGCCACCTACCCCGGAACATAAATCGCATACGGGGGTAAAGATTTCAGTCAATCTTGATTTTACCTGGATTTCAGCTATTTTGGGATGGGCGTGGCCCCTGGGAGTGGCCTGAGTGGGTTGGGAGGTCGAAACTTGGTTTTTATGATGGTTTGGGATAGGCAGTACCCATTTTTATACTAAAACATGGGCCACCTACCCCGGAACATAAATCGCATACGGGGGTAAAGATTCTCAGTCTGGATTTGTATGGGATTTGACCTGGATTTGAGCTATTTTGGGATGGGCGTGGCCCCTGGGAGTGGCAAGAGTAGTTTGAGAGGTCGAAACTTGGTTTTTATGATGGTTTGGGATAGGTAGTACCCATTTTTATACTAAAACATGGGCCACCTACCCCGGAACATAAATCGCATACGGGGGTAAAGATTCTCAGTCTGGATTGTATGGATTTGACCTGGATTTCAGCTATTTTGGGATGGGCGTGGCCCCTGGGAGTGGCCTGAGTGGTTTGCGAGGTCGAAACTTGGTTTTTATGATGGTTTGGGATAGGCAGTACCCATTTTTATACTAAAACATGGGCCACCTACCCCGGAACATAAATCGCATACGGGGGTAAAGATTTTCAATCTTGATTTTACCTGGATTTCAGCTATTTTGGGATGGGCGTGGCCCCTGGGAGTGGCCTGAGTGGGTTGGGAGGTCGAAACTTGGTTTTTTTGATGGTTTGGGATAGGCAGTACCCATTTTTATACTAAAACATGGGCCACCTACCCCGGAACATAAATCGCATACGGGGGTAAAGATTCTCAGTCTGGATTTGTATGGGATTTGACCTGGATTTGAGCTATTTTGGGATGGGTGTGGCCCCTGGGAGTGGCCTGAGTGGTTTGCGAGGTCGAAACTTGGTTTTTATGATGGTTTGGGATAGGCAGTACCCATTTTTATACTAAAACATGGGCCACCTACCCCGGAACATAAATCGCATACGGGGGTAAAGATTTTCAATCTTGATTTTACCTGGATTTCAGCTATTTTGGGATGGGCGTGGCCCCTGGGAGTGGCCTGAGTGGTTTGAGAGGTCGAAACTTGGTTTTTATGATGGTTTGGGATAGGCAGTACCCATTTTTATACTAAAACATGGGCCACCTACCCCGGAACATAAATCGCATACGGGGGTAAAGATTTTCAATCTTGATTTTACCTGGATTTCAGCTATTTTGGGATGGGCGTGGCCCCTGGGAGTGGCCTGAGTGGGTTGGGAGGTCGAAACTTGGTTTTTATGATGGTTTGGGATAGGCAGTACCCATTTTTATACTAAAACATGGGCCACCTACCCCGGAACATAAATCGCATACGGGGGTAAAGATTCTCAGTCTGGATTTGTATGGGATTTGACCTGGATTTGAGCTATTTTGGGATGGGCGTGGCCCCTGGGAGTGGCCTGAGTGGTTTGCGAGGTCGAAACTTGGTTTTTATGATGGTTTGGGATAGGCAGTACCCATTTTTATACTAAAACATGGGCCACCTACCCCGGAACATAAATCGCATACGGGGGTAAAGATTTTTAATCTTGATTTGACCTGGATTTCAGCTATTTTGGGATGGGCGTGGCCCCTGGGAGTGGCCTGAGTGGTTTGAGAGGTGGAAACTTGGTTTTTATGATGGTTTGGGATAGGCAGTACCCATTTTTATACTAAAACATGGGCCACCTACCCCGGAACATAAATCGCATACGGGGGTAAAGATTTTCAATCTTGATTTTACCTGGATTTCAGCTATTTTGGGATGGGCGTGGCCCCTGGGAGTGGCCTGAGTGGGTTGAGAGGTCGAAACTTGGTTTTTATGATGGTTTGGGATAGGCAGTACCCATTTTTATACTAAAACATGGGCCACCTACCCCGGAACATAAATCGCATACGGGGGTAAAGATTTTCAATCTTGATTTTACCTGGATTTCAGCTATTTTGGGATGGGCGTGGCCCCTGGGAGTGGCCTGAGTGGGTTGGGAGGTCGAAACTTGGTTTTTATGATGGTTTGGGATAGGCAGTACCCATTTTTATACTAAAACATGGGCCACCTACCCCGGAACATAAATCGCATACGGGGGTAAAGATTCTCAGTCTGGATTTGTATGGGATTTGACCTGGATTTGAGCTATTTTGGGATGGGCGTGGCCCCTGGGAGTGGCCTGAGTGGTTTGCGAGGTCGAAACTTGGTTTTTATGATGGTTTGGGATAGGCAGTACCCATTTTTATACTAAAACATGGGCCACCTACCCCGGAACATAAATCGCATACGGGGGTAAAGATTTTAATCTTGATTTGACCTGGATTTCAGCTATTTTGGGATGGGCGTGGCCCCTGGGAGTGGCCTGAGTGGTTTGAGAGGTCGAAACTTGGTTTTTATGATGGTTTGGGATAGGCAGTACCCATTTTTATACTAAAACATGGGCCACCTACCCCGGAACATAAATCGCATACGGGGGTAAAGATTTTCAATCTTGATTTTACCAGGATTTCAGCTATTTTGGGATGGGCGTGGCCCCTGGGAGTGGCCTGAGTGGGTTGGGAGGTCGAAACTTGATTTTTATGATGGTTTGGGACAGGTACTAACTATTTAAAACCCTAAACCTGTTCCAAATACCCCGGAACACAAATCGCATACAGGGGTGAAATCGCATACAAATCGCATACACAAATCAAGGAAACGTGCTCTCGATGATATTTTTACCACAACACGGAAGACAAGAGGGTGTATTCTCCGTTTTTGTGTCGAATTTGAATCTTTACTTGCCCCCATACTTGCACCATTTGTAGCCCGCTTGCCCCATTTGTAGCAATTCTAAATATTCTTCGGCGTTTGCCACAGCCTGAATTTCAAAAATGTTCAGGGCAAGGCAAAAGGAAATTGCGACATGTACGAATCTCGATTTTCCCATTCTCCGCAACAAATCGCGATTTTTCACGTTTCAGATCCTGGCCTCGGTTTCAGTTCTCCGCGACAAATTCCGCATTTTCCTTTGAATCTGAGGACCAAATTCGCGTATTTTCCTTCAAATCTGCGGGCCAAATATCACATGTTCTATAAGTATATGAAACCAATCACATCCACAGCCTTCCGAATGTAGGTACGGACTTCAGAAAACCGAAAAATATTTTCGGCTCATAATGATCAGGGTAGCACGAAACATGAACAAAAGTAGTTTCCAAGAAAACTTTGAAAAATTTCCGGTAAAAAACCGAAAAAATATTAGAAACCTAAATTATTTTCCCAAAAAATTTTAGAAACCTAAATTAAAAAGTTGGCAATTTTTGGCCCCTTGCCAAGATTTTATGGGGGCAATGCCCCCCTCCCCCGCTTCCTACACCCATACTTCCTACACCCCCTTGCCCTCCCGCTTCCTACACCCCTACTTCCTACAACCCCTCCCCCCCCCGCTTCCTACACCCCTGCCCCCCGCTTCTTACGAAGTTTTTGTTGACTCAATATGTCACATAGTATTGCATTAACATAATGTCACATAGTATTCGAAGAGATCGAAAAATAAGTTGTATCATTGTAATAAATGGTTCCTGCATACCAGATAACAGCTTAAATTCTTACAATCCTGATAATAAAGTATGGGCGAAGTTTGGGCGACAATTTTCCTACAATTTTGCTAGAACACCTCCAATAACATGCAACTCAATTACACTTATTGAGATTAACTTCGTGATCAATCGACAATGCTGATGATAAGATGTGTTTAAAATTCAAAAGAATATTCTTCCTATGATACTGAAATTAGCAATCAGCTACAATGAGCTACGAGAAGGAACGTTTACCTGCCAACGACTGAAGAAGGCCGCCATGGATCCTATCAATATGTTAGTAGGAACTGAAGCTAACAATCCTACAAAACCCAACAAACCAGCTGTTTTCTGATCTATTTTACATTTCTCCATGATCACGTCAAATGTTAAACCATAGCCGTTGAATGTGCCGCTGAAAATACACAATATTGTATACAATATAAATTATACAAATATACAATATTTACCAAGATTTTACACTATCTACACCAAATAGGGCATAAACAATTAGTAGTTCAAAACATAACCATCCAATTAAAGTTAATTGCATTATAGGAGCTGAATGTTACCTTGTCAAAGCGTAAGCAAATGCGACCAACCAGAAATTACCACGTCTTAATAACACACTGAGTCCCTGAAATATAATAGTTTTACAGTCAACTATCATAAAGGAGGAACTGTGACGATTAGTTGAAATTTTCATTTTGCAGTACCATTTACTGTCCTTATCTGTGATCTGTTATCTAGTCACCTCAGCAAATCAGATGATGTGCAGTGTTTTACTAGTAACTCTACTGGTGATACACATAACACACTGGCACTGTACGGGACTGTACGTCAATGCTCTCAAATTACAGTCCTTCTTGCGTAACATCTGATAAACACATTCTCTAGTAGTACCTACATTCTTATCTTATCTTCACCGTCACACGATGCACATTTAATTATTATTTCTAACATAGATGTTGATTTATTGATATTACTAAATAAAGTAGTGCCACAATCCCGTTATATAGTATATGTGTATAGTACATATAGCAACTCTAAATATACACGGAACATATATAATGTGTAGTACACATTACACACGGAACTCAGTTCATTTAATGCAGCCTCAGTTCATGTCACAATATTTTGTGGGAGTGTGATAACAAATTCGGATATTTGCAGTACAGGTTTATTAAATCAATTTATTTGTCATACCATGCTATAATATTTCACGTACCATCACATGACTTTCCAATATTATATCTAGGGCGTAAAACAGACAAACCAAATATACAATTTCCTTTACTTGATAAGAGCATTTCCCCTTCTTCCAATAAGACAACGAATGGAGTATATATTACTCTAACCGTGTTCAAATGTGTCAACAACATAGCTCCAGACTATATCACCCAAATGCATTAACATCAAGAGTCAACCTGTACGTGTACTACGAATAAAACTATTTCCTCCTAAATGTTCCTCCTGTTCCAAATCATAGTAAAACGGAGAGAAGTTTTCGTTACTGATTTGTGATCTTATCTGATCTTTTTGATGATCTGATCATAAAGTGAGCTCATGAGTATTTAAGTTAATAAGTGAGTTAATAAGTGACCTGAGTAAACACTAAACAGGTGAGTACACAAGTGAATCAGCGAGTGATGATGGTAAATACCTCAGTAATAGAAAGTCGGGCTGCAACAGCTGAAGCAGTAGGAGCGAACTGGGGTCGAGAAGGGAAGTAGATAGCTACAAAAACTAGTGAAAATATCATAGATATTCCTTGTATTACAAGATACCACCTGGGGAGGGAAAAAGAGAATAAAATACTGCATATTATATGTACTAGCAGGAACCCGTATAACCCTAAAATGGTGTCAAGACTCAAGAGACTAAAATAATTATTACCTATTTAATTCGCGTTTTTGACACCACTTGGGGGTCCAAATTTTGGGCTCTAAAACTCCTATTCCTTGGCCAATTTTTTATTTTTTCATGCTGATTTGAAAAACATAAAGGCATTCGACCCAGTCAAAAAAGTTTCAGTTGTATATCTTTTACGGTTTTTGCGGAAAGTCGCGTTAAAGTTGATGCTGTGGTGTCAGTAAAATGGCACAGATATATATATATATATATATATCGTCTCGCTTTATATATAGTAAGATACAATATGTATACAATATGTATACAATATGTATATATGTATACAGTATGTATATATGTATACAATATGTATATAATTTGTTAGAGCTTTCGCTGACGTTGAGGTGGAAAAACAAGCCAATATCGAGTTTTGTAGCCACAATCGCCCCGGAATAAAGCAGTAAAGGATCACAAGATAGTTAAGTGTCATCAAACAAATGATACGACGTATTCCAGGGTGATCTGCTGAAGACTCAACTAGTTTCGGCCTTTGAGGGCCATCCACAGGAGTGTCACCTAGCAGAAGTCAAAAATTTAATAAACTGATATCAGAAGAATATGTCATATTAGTAAACATACGGTTAACCGTATGTTTACTAATAATATTTATTAAATTTTTGACTTCTGCTAGGTGACACTCCTGTGGATGGCCCTCAAAGGCCGAAACTAGTTGAGTCTTCAGCAGATCACCCTGGAATACGTCGTATCATTAATTGTTTGATGACACTTAACAACCAATATGTATATATGTATACAATATGTATACAATGTGTAAAATTCGGATTGGAGTATTGCTTATGAGTCGCATGGTTGCAATGTATTCTGTGTAAAATTATATTTATCCCGTTTGATGCGACAAGGAAAAATGCTCTTATTAGGGAAAAAGGAGTTTACTCGACGTTTCAATGTAACAACATCGTATTCATGATCTCAAATTATTTGTTATATAGTAGTGTTGAAAGTATTAAAAGTATGTATACATAACATATTATCAACTTTTAGATGTTAACAAACTTGCAGATGAAAATTGAAAATATTGGTGAGTTCAGCGTACAATAAGCTATTGAGTTATTTAATCTCATTTCTTACTTATTATACTTCACAATCTTACTGATCATGATACATAGTACATACTGTATAGTACTGTATAGTACTGTATAGTATAATCTACTGTATACTTTATAGTATACTCACCTAAGCTGTTGGTCATAAAAATGTCTGTCGTGATCGGAATCATCAGTTATAAAACCATGGATATGTGAGGAAGTGTGTACGGAGAGTGTAGAGTTTACATCAGGTTCCGGTATCAGTAAAGGTCCCAGCAGAAAGGGAATCGCAATACCTGGGTTGAGAATTTTAGTGGGTGCTATAACTCCCCCCCCCCCCCCCCCCCCCCCATTTACACTTTACAGGCGTACAATAAGTATGCAAGTTTTACTTGTATACCAGGCATACCTATATACATATGTACTGTTTTATATGTACTATTTACAATGTATTATTTGTATAAATCATGTGTATTTTGTTACAAAGTCCAATTTGACTCATGTGACCCACCACATCTACTGTAAATTATTGAACACTATTGTTAAGTTGGTTTACCTGTGTTTAATGTTGCCATGACAACTCCAGTTGCAACGATCCTCTCTTTTGTCGGAAACCAGTTCACTAAAAATTCACATTATAATATGTATAATAAAATTATCAAGTACCATAATGGTTTCCAAGTAACTTGACCTAACCATAAGAAGGAAGATAAAGAGTAGTAGTAGTAGTAGTAGAAGTAGTAGTAGTAGTAGTAGTGGTAGTAGTTATAGTAGTCTCACCTGTAACGTACATGACCCCAGAGAACGGAACAGCACCGCAGAAACCATTTATTATCTGGGTTATATGCGCAGAATACACCAAGTAATCGTAGGGTATCGCCGTGACGGATAAGATCTAATGGTTTGAAATGTTTTTAATAATAAAAAAACATCGCCGGAATGATGAGATAATAAAGATGCCCTTACCTCAATTAAAATTGTAAAGAGAGAGATGAAGTGAGATGTAAAATAACAACGGTAAAACATGTTGATTTAATCAACATGTTGATTTAAATACGGTAAACTGACCTTGATAACTCCAGCTAATGCCATGAGGGTGGTGTTAGCAAGAATAACAAATCTCATGCTAGTTGCGGCCATGATCCAGGGGAAGAGGACAGCTCCGGGGATGAACATAGCGGACATCCACATCGCCAGCAGGCTAGTCCGCTAGTGGTTATTAGTTGCATAATTATTAATTAATTAGATAATTATTATCATCTGATTGAAAATCATTTGTTAATTTTGTCATAGATAATATTCCGTACTTTTTAAATTTTTAATAAAGTTTTCTACAAAATTTCAATAAGTTCATGCAACAGAGATAATATTCGAGATCAAAAGATTATATAATAAAAGTACCTTATCATCCCACTCGTATTGCTGTTTCATTGCAGATGCTATAGGACCCCAAGCATTTCCTGATAATAATTATCAGTCAGTAGGTCAACCTACACATACAACTAATTAGTAAAAGAAATAAGAATTGAATCTCGATATGCACTTGATCAGGGAAAGCACGGTGCTAATCATAATGCAGTTCTAAGCTTATCATTAACCTACTCTAAAGCGGATGTCACGGGTCACGTTTTCATTTCAAAATTCAAATAAATCTTACATCAATGTATTACAGTTACAAACTTTACACAAAACCAAAAATCTACTATGAGGCAAAAAAACATGGAATATGAAAGCTAGAGTTCAAATCAAAATGACAATTAAGAATAATGGAACTTACCTACAAAGCCCTGTACCATGCCCATGTAACAGAAGGCAAAAAGAATGTACCATCTGGCGGGAGTTGCTCTAAACGCTTCTTGTGATATGACCTGCAAGAGATGGTGTGAGTTCCGAGTGTTTAGCTCAAGAGAGGCAGAGATCGAGAGAAGTACATGCAACTCTAATTAAGAGGTCGGAAAAGATATCTGATGCTTCGTTAAGAGGGAAATTACTATATTCAATATCCATGTCACAAGGAACATGCTAAAGCTAAGATGATCTGCTGAGTGGTGATTAGTGCTTTTCATAGTGCGATAAAAACTCATATCAGAATAGAACAATCGTTGCAATAGACACGAGACAAATTCATACATTTCAAAACAGAACTTAACCTAAATATGGTAAAATAAAATCATTTGTGAATTTGCAAATTTTATCACATCTGTCCCGTGGAAGACATTTTGTTTTGTTAACCGTAAAGAGTAAGCTATAAGCATGCTAATATCATAAGCCTGTCCATCTAGAATAAAAAACTGGGCACAGTAAAAGAAAATAGGCTGAAGTTGAAAGACAGCAAGCAAGCACAGTACAGCACATTACAGCAGTGAATCCATGTATTTCAACCTGGGAAGGCCCAGATGCCAAAGACTGAGAATTTTCTGAATCTGTATCGTATGCAGTCGCTATACTGATATCAGCAGCATATTGAAAATCACCATCTAGCAGGACCAATGTCGGTGAGGAATTTATGGACAGCTGCTCATAAACTTGATCAATACTCCCCTGAAGTAGGACAGTACAAATTCTATGTACAGAAACCTTACTTGCAGATTTTAGTTACGACCCTCATTGGGGTAGCTAGCAGCACTGTCTTCTCTTTAGTATAAATCTTCGACATAAATATATAACAACACCGAGTCAACCTGTTTTGAGTCAAGATGGGGTTTAAAACCATCTTGACAATTTCCACTCCACTGAATTTCAACTAAAACGTAAACATGGGAAACAAAGTATACATTATAATTTATATACACAGAAAGGAGAAGTAAGTGACATTGTATGCCAAGAATCAGGCTAGTCTTGGAGCTGCACGTCAAAGTAAAATCTAAATCGAGAATATGATTACTCAAATTATCGTCGATTGTTTTGGAGGAGCATGGGCAGAAAGCCAGGCATAATACTCAGTATCTAATTGATAAAGACATTAGAAATTTACCTGAGAAGTCTGTTGTTGGTCTGCAGCTTTCCGGTTATCATTGATTAGCCTTTGTCTTTCATCATCAGACATCTTTATTTTCACTACTAATGATAGAAAGTTGTGATGATTGAAAGTAATGATTTTAAAGAAGGCCATGACTAGGACTTAAACTGTGGGAGAATACAATTTGGGCTAGATTTACCACTCTTGTTTGAAACATTTCAGAGGTGCTGGACTTATTCAATAGTATTATATTATTTTAAATTGATGGTATAATATACAAAAATACACCAAATCAACCACGGATATTATAAAGAAAAAGTTACATATTCCAGGCTGTTGGCAGGGCATTCAAATCAAATCAAATCAATCATTCGATCAACAGAGCAACGACCTAGCAGACCCAACTGTAGCAGCACCTTAAGGGGGCCGGGGCGGGGGTCTTCATCAAAATTCTCTCGAAATCGACTTCATAGTTGTTTCTGATAGAGGGGAGTGATATTTATCAGCTGCTTTTGGTTCCATGGAAATTATCGCTGGTCAAAGGTCAGCACTTATGTGTAATTGTATTGCGCGAGCAATTTTCAATCACGCATTTGAAAATAAAGTCTAAAAATCTATCTTCTCCTACATTTTTTTAGCAATAACCCTCAAACTTTCAGGAAATGTTCTTAGGATCAGTTAGAGGAGAACTCTAGAACCAGAATTTTGAGATAGGCCTTTAAAGATTTTTAATTCGATTTTGAAACACACTTTTTTGGAGATTTTTTATATATATCCTATTTATATTAAATCACCTAATTTGTCCAATTTTTTTGGGGGGCACCGACAGGGGGGCGCCAACTTACCTGAGGACCCCAGGCTCTTATGTTCATTAACAATAAAGATTTGGCGGAATGACAGGCTGAGCGCGGCCCAGTAAGGCGCCAACAGGGGGGCACTTTTTCAGCAGGGGGGATTCCAACATGCAACGTTACGCCACTGGGAGAGCAGGCAGAGAAAATAGGCCTGATCTTTTTATAGGACATATGGTGTTGTTCCAAGATGCTTTTGCCAGACTCTTTTGTAGTTACTGTTTAAGTATCCACTCCTAGAAAGTCTTTTATTGGCCCTTAAAGGTATGGGGAGGAAGACTGTACCAAGAATCCATGCCTTGAAAGATGATTACACTTCTGTTCCAATTAAATTGGTGCATAACGTGTCATGTATTTTCATCATCTAAAGTGTACTCCATACGTATGGACTTATTAATTGCGTAGTGAATTAAAAGACTACCTTGATATCTCGAGTTATTAAAAATAACTTAAGTCTCGCTTATTATTATTCAACAAGGCATCGGGAAACATTTAACGACGGACAATTATTTGATTCTTCAATTTTTTTACAAGCATTGCTTTAAATTGATTAGATAGATTCACGATGTCAATCCTTCGCAGCTCGGTGAGGCACAGTTGTGCATCTTGCCGATCTACCGATGGTTGCGAGAAGAATTATTTGATGCGCGGCGCGACCCAGTAGTGCATCGCGCTATAACAATGCTTTAAATAGATTTAATCAAAGTACAAGAATTTTTTAATATTAACAGGCTTATAACAATTATTATAATTATTATTACAGCAATTAGATTGAATATTTGTTTTAATGTTTTTTTAAAGGCGCAGTTTATATCTCCGCCAAAAGCATCACATTTTAGCATAAATGCGCGTAGTTTTCTTAACTATTTTCACAGTCGCGCCTTCCTGAAGTTACATTAAACAGCCTGTACATTGAAATTAGTACTATACTAGTATTCTGCTTGCTGTAGTATTAATAGTAATAGAACACAATTAAAAATTGTCAAGGAATTGATTGGAAATGAAATAACACAAAATAGATTTAAATAATACAACTTAAAGTGACGAACAAAAAATCTGAATTAAACATCATCAACTAGAGAGTCTTGAAATTCTGCTCTGATGCTTTTTAGCTTCTTTCGCTGCTTTTTTGGAGGTCGACCCTTAATTTTTTGTCATGTTTGTCGGGTCGGAAAACTCCAATGAGATAGGCAAAATAACTCCGTCTGCTGCCTACAAATTTACTTTTGGCGGAGATATAAACTGCGCCTTTTTTAAATGGCCACGGGCCTTACCTGAGGACCCCAGGCTTTAATGTTGGTAAACAAACAATAGAGATTAGGCGGAATGACAGGCTGAGCGCGGCCCAGTAACCACGGGCCTAAATATATAAATATTACACGTCAATACAATCACAATTCATTTTACATAGCCATGTGTATACGCGTACTATATACTGCGTGACGTGCGCTTGTTGTACGGCGGTCGCGCGCTACTGCAAGCGAAAGGACTCTGGTTAGAGCTAGCAAACAATTCATTAACATTACCAAAATTGCCATAATGTGTGTTCATTGATTGACGATGTCAAGATCCGTCGAGATCGTTGCTCTGCGAAGCAAAGCAACGATCGACGACGATGCGAAGCAAAACGATGCGATGCTAGTTCGCGCGGCGCGTCGAAGCGGCAAAGTCCCCCAAGTGTGTTCACTGAATTTTTGATCAAAATTTATGATTTAATATTTTGTAGATCAAGTGAGTGACTGGTTGTATCACGTCGTGACCCCCAATGTCGTTTCACCTGTATAGTTTTAATTACGGTACAGTGGAGCCGCGCACTCGTGCGCGGCGGGTCATACAACGTATGACAAAGTGACTGGTAGGGTGTAATTTGTACTAATGAAGAACCGTATGATACAAAAATTTTGATACAGCGTTAGATACAGCGAAATCAAAATTTTTTGGTTTACCGCGCGTATTTTCAACGGCGCGCGGCTCATAACTTTACAAATTTTCTACCTTAAATCGAGCGCTATACCTGAATTTGTACTATTTGATTAGGTATTATTACTATTTGATTAGGTATTAAAGACAACAGTTATTTCAATAAGGGGGGACAGAGGGCCCAAGTTGCGATATAAACCAAACAATATTGAAGATTTAGATTTAAATATTGAGCCCTTTGGCTAGAGGATACTTTCTCAGATATTTTGGATAGTTTTTAATATTGGTAACATTAATGGATTGTAATTGATTGATATGTAATATTTAGGCCTGTGGCCAGTTTTCACTATTTGATTAGTACTAAGTCAATTAAGATTTTTGGTTTCGTTTCTACGTGTATGTACGCTGGCCATTTTTTATTTGTTATACCTGAGTCATTACGATGTTTTTACATACTTCGAACCATAAATCATTTTTAACCATAAATCATTTTTAATGATGCTGTAGGTTACACCAGAAAGCGCCTTCGCTTTGAAATCCTAAGAACAACAGTGATTTCTCTCCGTGGAGACAGAGGTGCGAGAAAAAACATTGTTTATATAAACAGTCTAGATCTTAACTTGGAGCCACAAGGCCAAGGGTAATTTTTGAGTGTTTAGGGAATTTTTTATATTCTTAAAGGTTTGTTTTTATATAGGGTCATTGCTATATTATGTGTATATTGTTTGAATAATTTTATTTATTTTTAATGTTTTCATTTATGTTTATATAACCTTTATCGATTATAATCATCTGTTTGGTTGTAAAACCCACGATTAGAGAGCGTAGACAAAATAAGTTAGATGTTGTTCAGTTTCAGTGTATAGTATAAATAATATTTATTAGTTATCATTTTTAAACCCTGGATTATTTTTGTATATCTAGCTATATATTTTGTAAATTTCACAATGATGAACCGTGAATGATTAATGTTGATATAATATATGTGAAAGTTGCATGTAAATAAAATTAGAGAAAAATCGGTTTATTTTTTAACTATCATCATTCCGTAAATTTTCCCAACCCCTTGTGTTGAAAGTCTATCTCATGATAAAGTGTCCTTATCGCCGATACCAGAGTGTGGCACCATACATGATGTAGCCTCTATTTCAGCAAGTAACATGGCTTTACAGTGAAATACTCAAAATTGTTGGTCACTTGCATGTTCTTAATTTTCTGGAGATGGAAAGCTCGTTAATTTGTACATGATCCAACCAATTTTACTGTGGTCTATATATTAAGTCCTATCCATGTTTGGAATCCTTGATTACTGCAACTGGGCATGATTGAACCATTGCCTGATCTTTAGAGTAGAGTAAATGGCAGTTGTGTAATCTAGACATAAAATTTTAAAGTTTATCCAACACGTAAATATTAGTTCATCACATTTATCATACAGTTGAGTTTCGTGATACACCCGAGTTTAACGTCGTTAGGTGAGTGTAGAAAGTAAGGTGCAGCTTACTCTGTATCTTGACATGAGATCGATGTGCGTAAAATATGAAGAAGAAAGAATTTAAGATAATCCGAGTTCTGTCTTATTCCTAAGTTGAATGAAAACTCTACATTTCTTGTCTTTTTTCTCTTATCTAATACGGTCTAATTATTTACCTTACAAGACATTTTTGTGGCGGACCAATTTGCGACGACCGAAATTTTGGCGGTCCGAAAATATGGCGAAATTGAACAAGAACCGTCACATTTCGGACGTCACAGAAAATAAGGGTATTTTTCATCATTTTTTGTGACAGTAAGCAGTAAGGAAATTTCTGAAATTCGGTAAAATCATGTTCAAACTTAGTCTGTATTAAGACTGTAAGACTTTCATGTATATACATACATGTATTTTAATGCAAATTTAAACTGTATTGCTTGACATTCAATTCGTCATTGGTGTGGTGATAATTTGTCCCAAGTAAAGATGCCAGAATTTATTTATTTATTTTACTTGATATTACTTTTTAGAAACAAAATAAAGCAGTGAAGGCACAGTCATTGAAATAAGCTAAAAGATAATGCGACGGATTCTATTACGACGACCGAAATTTTGGCGGTCCGAAAATATGGCGAAATTTTCGGAAAACCGCCACATTTCGTACGTTATAAATATGTCTTGTAAGTTAATTAGCTACCTGTCAATATTGTCCCCCTAATATTTTCTGATAAAGACCAACTTTTTCCAGTTAAATCGTCATGGCAGACCTTGCTAACTTAGTTTCAAGGTTGGAAGCAGTTACCCTCCGTCTGGAGAAATGTGGAGCTGGTGGGGGTAGTGCAGCTTCTGCTGCCGACGATGATGACGATTATGGTAACTTCATTTACGTAACATATCGATTACTAATATTCACAGCCACAACTCAAACTGCTCTTTTCAACTTGTTCAATTAATTGAAGGTTTCCAAATATCTGTACATCCATTGATTATTTTGAGATTTATCATCAACTCAGAATTTAATTTTTATGATTATTTCAGATACCGTGGATGCTATTGTCGACTTCCAGGCGGTAAGTCAGTTGTAATAACTCCCTTTAAAATTGCATGTGATTTAAATAGCTCTAGAAAATCTCATTTTCAAATCCTTAAATATGAACTTGTTGAAGTTGAATTTAGCTTTAGATATTTGATTATTAAATATTTAAAGTTTATTTATTTAAAATTTAATCTCCAAATGCAGGTTCTGGATAAAGCTGATGCTGTTGTAGAAGCTGCAAAAGATCTTCCTAAGGACGTTCTGGAAATTGTATGTTACTTTCACTGAAGCAACTAAACGCACAACATTATCTGCGAAAATAACTTGAAAATACTCACAAAGATTTTTCTATACCCATAGGAACAGCACTAATTTAGCAAGTCTTAATAACACTGTTACCAATTAAAACCTATCTGATGCGTCCCTTAAATATTCCTTCTTTTCAGTCGAATCTCCTGAAGCTGGTTGTTCTGAAAAACAAAGAGTTTCTGAGGGTCTCAGTTCGTGCTAAGGCCTGTTTACCGGTGTGTACCAATTTATAGCAATACAGCGATACTTTAAATAAAAACAGATTCATGAAAATATCGTGCGATTTGAATATCTCAATAGTAATGATATTTATAGACAATTATACACATGTCAGTTTATGGAAAGATTTATTCGTTTATTGCTTTCCTTTGAAAGCGTCAGTACTCAGTAATGTAATTCCCGAGACATTAAACAACACTTTATCACGAATTCCAATCGAATCATACCACTATAATCAGCTTACTAACTGACGTATACATAATCTGTTCACTCACGAGTCACAGTTCCCACGTGTTATTTCACAGTTCCCACGTGTTATTTCACAGTTCCCACGTGCTATTTCGCAGTTCCCACGTGTTATTTCACAGTTCCCACGTGTTATTTCACAGTTCCCACGTGTTTTTTTCACAAACCTCACAAACTACCGAGTATTAAATATCAGATATTGTTAATGTGCTCACAGTTCACACACACACACACACACACACACACACACACACACACACACACACACACACACACACACACACACACACACACACACACACACACACACACACACACACACACACACACACACACACACACACACACACACACACACACACACACACACACACACACACACACACACACACACACACACACACACACACACACACACACACACATACAACTAATTACCTGTCAACGGTCGCGGTGTTGTTATCATGTTACAGCTGTGTGTGTTATTATAACTGTGGTTACACACTACACAGCCTCGTGTCCTTGTAACACTATCTGATATTTTACCTGTGCCACAGCCTCCAATATTAATAAACACTGTTGTGCTGTGTTCCTGAAATTACCACATCACGGTGGTTAATGAAATCGTCAAGATTGTGAGATACCTGCAAATCAGACGTATGTTTGATTTAAATTTGTATGTGAGTGATGGTCTAAACATTTAAAAGTGCAAAAATGGAGCAAAAATGACCTGTATCACATCTAGAGTATAGACCGTCAGGAATAAAGATAAAGTGTCCCTATTACTCGCATCTGATCCACAGAAATCAACTGGCATACCGATTAATAATCAGTTAAATCGCTCTCAGCATTAGAAGTTTACATGTTAGGCTTACTTATGGATTTTAGTCCTTAGTCAATTCCTTCTTAGAAATGAGCTCGGACTTTCGCTTCTCAGTGGAGACCTCCCTTTCATTTCAGTCACAATGTTCTCTACTAATAGTCAAATTTCGCCAAATTGTACAACAATCTGAGTTTTAGATCACGATCAAAATATGGCCATACAATTGAGTGCAGATGTATTTATAATACATTTCATAGTTGTAATACATTTCACGTAGCAGCAGAGTTAACGGAGTAATGTAATAGACAATAGTTCCTTAGTCCTAAGTATCACGAGTCCTTAGTTCATATTGCTGTTTGTCTAAAAGCACGTACAGTTTGCTAATGGTAGCAGAAAACTTTACTGCCCCTATTTTCTGTAGTGTGTATAGCTAAAAATAGCTCAAGATATACAACTTTATGTAGACCAACTGCGGCAGTGTATCTTAAATAATATGGGAGTACATGGTAATACACAGTTATAATAACACATACTTCCTACACAATCACATACACTTGTGCAATGTGCATTCTTGGAACATTCTGAGTTGGAATGCAAATATCACGCCATGTGGTAAATGTAACACCATTTCAGGCTGACATTCCAATTGTGATGAAACCCATGAACGAGGCTATCACCCAAATTGGAGTGAGTATTATATTTTATATTGTTATCTGTTTATGGCTATCTTATCGAATTTGTTTTTGGAAATGTTCGAGAAAATATAATATTGTCATGTCGGAAAAGTCAGGCTGCGGTCGTTTCCACTTCCTAGTTACATTAAGGCGACTTCGAGCCGCATATTATCGTTTGACAATTATCAACAAAAATAACACTGGTATCCAGACTGTATTTGTAGAAATCTAGGGGTGGATGGCTCGGAAAGAAATGTTTTCCTCCATAATATTATAATAAACAACCTATTTCAGACATACCGAGACACGAACAGGGCCAGCAGGCAGTTCAACCATCTCTCAGCAGTGAGTGAGGCAATCCCGGCATTCGGGTGGGTCTGTGTTGCACCTCGTCCTATTGATTACATGAGCGAGATGATAGGGGCTTCCGACTTTTACATCAACAGGATTCTCAGGGACTTCAAGGATACGTGAGTGCCTTTTTAAATTATTTTATCTATTTTATTTGTATAATTTTAATTTGTGTTTAACTGATTCGAAATCACTTCCGCTGAAGATATTCGAAACGAAAAAATCAAATCAATCATTCGTTTGCAGAAGCACTCCAGAACTTGCGTGAGTCACAATGTTTATGATTGGGACTTACATTTTTGAACTGGAACTGACTTACTATGTTAATTTTGGGACTTGTTTAGATGTTAATTTTGATTGAAGCACTTCATACATGTACTATATTTCTTTCAGTTTTATAAGCAAGTAGAAAATATTCAACTGCCGGAACTACCAGTTATAAAATTTGCGCTTATTTTCTAATCTAGTACTTCCTCCATAGCAACTGGTATATACGCACGATTTTGTTAACGAAACGTCAATACAATGAATGATACATCTCAGAAATATCACAATACTACCATATATGGGCATAGTTGTCGGACAAAGCATTTTTAATAGAGCCTTTGTAATCTTGCTTACAATAGCAGCTAGCACCCGGGCAGCGCTGCTCTCTTTTTATAGAACACCGCAAATATTTCATGATCTATAAATAGTCATTCGTAGAATTGACTTCGGTGAGAAATATAAGTTTTTAAGGTAATATAGCTAAAGTGTAACTGAGTGTAACATTAGGCCGGGGCACAAGGTATAGCTAAAGTGTAACATTAGTGTAACTGAATGTAACATTAGGCCGGGACACAAGGAGTGGAGCCAGAAATTAAAGCAGCTGTTTACCGCATTGAAAGAGTACGTTACCAACAACCACAAGAAGGGCGTACAATGGAATCCTAACGTGAGTGTAAAATGACTAGTTATTTAATTATATTTCTGAGGAAATTAAGGAACTAATTGGAGTTTCTTACTTGTAATTATGGGTTACATATTGTATTCATCTGGTGTATGGACTATGCTATGAGCCATTGTTTATTCGCAAATGCTATTATTATACATTCATTTACACAGAAATCATGAATTGTCATTCAAAATAAGCTTACCCGTGTACAGTGTATATGCCGGTATAATGATCGAATAAACTCCAGGGAGGTGACGCCAAGGAGGTGGCAGCTAAGATATACGGAGGCGGAAGTGCCGCTCCTAAAGCGCCTGCAGCTCCCCGAGCGCCCCCAAGCGCCCCCGCACCGCCTCCCCCACCGCCAGCAGGTGCTAAACCCAAGGCTGGTGCACCCTCCGCTGGTGGCGGTCTCTTTGCTGAGATCAACAAAGGGGCTGACGTTACTAAAGGTATGTTACAATATTTCATATCCCGTTCTTGCTGGTTCCTTTTTGGGAGACGATTGATTAATAGTTAACGGCAAAAATCTTGCATCCTTGGGGAATTGGGAGTGTCATCACCATTTCTATTTAAAATATCAGGTTTTAGAAGATTGTTTAAAATTGACCGTATTATCAGGATTAAAGAAGGTATCAAAAGACCAGATGACGCATAAGAACCCAGGCCTAAGAGGGTCCAGTGTTGTAAAGGATGCTGATCTTAACAAGAACAAGAAGGCAGCTACTCCTGCTAAGAAGGCTGCTGGACCTGTTTCTAGACCTCCCAAACTAAAGTTGGAGGGCAAGAAATGGAGCTGCGTAAGTAAAGTTCAACAGTTCTGTAATTAATACTTACTTACTTGATCCACAGCTTATTACACAGCTCTCTCATGACATCATACCTTACAAGACATTTTTGTGGCGGACCAATTTGCGACGACCGAAATTTTGGCGGTCCGAAAATATGGCGAAATTTTCGGAAAACCGCCACATTTCGTACGTTATAAATATGTCTTGTAAGGTAGTCCATTCCTGTTCTTAATTTACTTGTCATGTAACAACCATACAAGTCCTGAAGTCTTAAAATTCAATCCCCACAAGTTCCAAAGTTACAAATGTTTGGAGAATTTGGAGATAAATACAGTTATATTTATCAGTTTTTTATTTAGGAATAAAATTTATTTGTACATATTATCGCCAACCATATTTGGAAAATATTCATGTCTGATTGTCAAAGCTGTTGAAATGTTTGGAATGCTTATTATGCAAATATCGTATTTGTAACGTAATGATGACTCATACATAGTGTAAATACAACGTCACATGTGAAATTGTTTTAAATTTGAGGCGGAGTTGAAAGTCTGCACTTTGCTAACTATATCATCAATTTAAATTACTTACCACGACATTGCGTAATGAAATATTGACAAACACATATTATTCCTTAAACAATGACACATTCCATCAGGAATACCAAAACGGCGTGCAGGACATTGTTATTGATGCCCAAGTTACCCAGTCTCTCTACATTTTCAGATGTGAGAACTCTGTCATCACCGTCAAAGGTTTGAGCTAAATCACTGATCTTCCGTTATTATCTAAAAATATGTTGATTGACAGGATTGTTATCAGACCATGTACCACTCATAACATTATCTCAACTCAAGATCGTACCCACTTCAGGGAAGATAAACTCCATTACTCTTGATAATTGCAAGAAGACTGGCATTGTTGTGGATTCGCTGGTCGCTAGTTTGGATGTCGTCAACTCCAACAGCATCAAAGTCCAGGTCAGTTTGAAGCGGCTAATTCTGACACTTGTTTATTGGTAGATCTCTAAGCTCACCTGTTGTTCCTTGACCCCATGTCAATGATGTACATCTTTGCAGGTTAATGACAAGGCGCCCATAGTGAATATTGATAAGACAGACGGCTGCCAAGTGTTTGTCCAGAAGGCCACTGGACTCGCCACAGAGTTTGTGACTGCCAAATCATCTGAAGTTAACATATGCCTCGTTGAAGAAAACGGCGAATATGTAAGTATTGTTATTTGTATCTGCAACGGCCGTGAACCATGTCTGTCCTGCTAGTAGCATCTTAATCGTGCAACCCTGTGCGCGCGGCTCAAGCTATTGCTAGTTTTGACGTTTCGCTAGTAGGATGAGGACCTTAGGTGTCATAGTTCTACTTTTCTGCGCGTCATGATATGCATCACGTATGCATGCATACATATATATATATTGTGCGCGCGGTTTTTTCTTCCTATCTTATTTTACTTCCTATCCCTCCAATCAAGCAAATTGACAACTAGACAGTAGACTAGATCCGTTTTGCGGCTGGACATTCAGTCAACCACACTATTGTATCAATTATTGTATCGTTCAATCGTCATCATCTTTTCAGAATGAGTCGTTCGTCGCGGAGCAGTTCCTGACCAAATATTGTGACGGAAAGTTCGTCACTGAACTCTACGAAGTGTGCGGATAAAGTGCCTCATCTCCGTTACTCATTAAAACAAGATGATGTAACCCAGAACTGCATGCATAATATGCAGTGATTTAGTTATATATTTTTGGGAATCAGCTCTGATTCTAAACCATATTAAGATTCGGAGTTTTTAAAACATTTTGATATGAATTTTGTCTGACCAAAGCTTACTGCTGTCATGACGCGGAACGTAGAATTTTCTTTTGGAAAAATAATGGTTTGATCATATGGTATAATAGCAAACGTATAATTTTACTGATTTCTTTCAATTCACGCTTTTTATGTTTTTGTAAAGTACAATAATTTCCTTATTGAGATATATGTAATCTTCGATTGTAATATGTAGCAATATTTTGCTTTTGTGAATATTTAGAATTAGTTGTCTATCTGATTAATCGAACAATAGTATAGGGTTTCGTAATTATATTTCAATAATAAATCGGAAGGCTGGTCTCCAACTGAACAGCGACAATTTGCACGTTTTGCGCTCGTCACGTAGTGCCACACTAAGTAAAGTAAAATCATACACGTAACTTTTACCGCCGAAACGCAACTTGCGACCAGTCTTCTAAACTTTGTGAATAAATGTTATCCTTCAAAACTGTAGTGTACTTAGTCTATGAGCATGGCACAAACAAGACGGAAATTTTGGGCAGGAAACGGACCTAGGAAGAAGTGTTTGGACACACTACGAGACTTGCACGGACATCACTACTAGCAACTAGGAGATACGACATTGTAAGTTGTTTTCAGTTAAAATTGAACTCTTCGTTTATATAAACCAGTTGCAAGTCTGCTCTGTAGTCTGTATGTAATATTTCTTGTTTATGATCATCTCTCGTCCGTTGACCAAGTGCCGGGTCTGATAAGCTGCACTGTTGTAATAGTCACCACTAACCATGATACCAAACTGTTCTGCCCCCTCGCCGCACTGACTGCTACAGCATTTGTCTTGAGGCACTGTGGCAGAGCCCCGGGAGTCCAGGTTTGAGTTGAGCTACATGTCACATACTGTGAACCGGAGAGAGCATAGCCACTGTCACAGGCAAACGTCATCACATCCCCTGAAAGAAGGGGTTTTAATCAGTGTTTACAGCTATTTTATTGACAAAATTAATCTAGAATTGATGAGGTAGTCATGATCACAGGCTTTGAATTTGTCTTGTGTTGTCTGTTATTGAGTTGTTGGTGGTATTACCTATGTTAAAAGGTGTTCCCCCAAGCGATGTTGATCTTAGGTTAGGAGATGAGCCGTATTCCACATTATTTCTGATATCTTTGCAACCGCCTGAGAACAAAAGGTACTCAAAATAGCTCTGTTTTAACGCGAACACTGAGTGTTCCTGCTGGTTTTGCACAATCAAAAATTCTGATGCGATAAATAAATATTATACGGCTGGTCATGGTATCACGGCTTGATAGACGCAAGTATTCTGCCTTGATATGAACACCTGATGCAAATACTTTATACTGCTTTATTTTTAATCATCGCAACTATTACCGACTACAATTTAACTGGCCCAGCTTCATTGACCTCGCTACTTATGATCGATTTTTGATAGATCCTGTCAAATTTAAACATCCAATTTGGGGGGTTGTCTCTGCGACCAGACAAATGTCTGTGGATAACGTCTAATTTATATGTCTCTCGCTGACTCTGTCCACTTAACTCTCAGTCTCAAGCAATACTGCTGCGCTAAACTGACTGCGTTGCAGCATGTGGTGGGAGGTAACCAGACAAGTAAACACCTGTCAGATTCGCATAAATTCGATCCGTATCCTCGATGCGCCATGCGGTGGTTAAGAAGGGGCTTTCCCACCGCTAACTAGGGCAGCTATCAGTCACGACTCTTTAAAACCTGCTGTAATTGTTTTTAAAGTTTAGTTTTGCGATCGTGTACTCACTTGTGCAAGTAGCTATGTTTGAGAGAGCTGGAACCCACCCTTGGTCCGAACAGAAAGCTTTATTGGTTTGACCGTTGCCGTTCACTGGCGCATACCTGAGAATATGTCTGGTACCTTTTCACTTTCAACTCCAAAAGTAAAGCTATAAAAAGTTAATTCTCGCTTATGTGTTATGGCCTACGAGTACGGGTATTGATTTGATTGTCACACGTTGCGACCTCAACTATTTTTCAATAGCAAATAGGGCTTTGCGTGCCAGAAACGTGTCAGGCAAGGTCTGCTATACCTGGGACAAGGTCTGGCAATGATTTGATAGGCACTTACATTAGATTTAGACATTAGGTGGAGCAAACAAGTAAATCTGTTCGTTTTTATATAATGTTTGTATAACATTTTTGAAGTATTTAGCCACAACATGATCTGATCGTTGATTCAAGTTTTGATTTATGTTTATGAAATAGGAATCATTAGAAGTTTCCAAAATACTAACCCATCTCTGCATCTAACGGTGACAGTGTAATTTTTAACGGGTCGTATTGGAGCCTCGTCCAATCCAGCGGTGGGAGATTGGGGGTTGTAAACAGGATCCCAGTATGTGTCGAAATCCTGGGGTAGTGGAGCACATCCCTCTGTGGAGGATCAATTGTTATTGATGTTACTTTAACGGGTCATACCGGCCATTAAAACTTGTGAATTCTAGGAAAATAACTACAAAATACCTACAAAATAACTACAATAATCCACCTCTTATTCATTATTCATTATTCATGTCCACCTGTACTACTCTACGCCCAAAATATTTCTCTACATTTTCAAAAGGGTTGCGCCAGAAAGACAAAAGTAGAAATATTTTTCAAAAAATTTGTGCTTCATACCGGATTTTTATAGCCGAAAAACTAACAGTAGCATATGGAATCATTATTAAAACGCAAGGAAAATATTTTAAATGCCGAAACAATAGCCCTTTAACATAGTGTATAACTATAAGATACTAGAAATTATTATTAAATGTATATGGATAGGATTACGCAGTAATAAGGATCATGACAGGATGGGGGGGGGGGGGGGGGGCTCATGTTTACAGGATACATGACTTCTTCTTCACTAGCCTTACTAAGAAATATACATCTGTTAGTGTTAAGTAGAAATTACTCTATTCTTCTAGCATACTATAGTTTAAGTTATGATCTGTAATCAGTATAGTACATCAGTAGGATGAAGACTGGTATGGATTAGATTTCAATTATTGAAATCTGTTGTTTGATATTATTTGCCGTGTTGATCGAGGAGCAGAAAAATCGATTGTATTTTGAATTGAATGAATATTAAATGGATCCTATAATAACAAAAACTCACTTGAGCACCAAGCCGTTATGTCCTGTCTGAATATGTCGGGGCTGCTACTGTCGGAACAGTCCGTTTTTATCTCCTCTTTCTGTTTGCCGGATTTGATGTCCAATTTGTCTAATTCTTCTATCTGGCGGTCCTGGTGAGCGTACCGTAACACGTCATGTTTCAATTTGTCAAGTAAAACCCATTACCAGTATCAGGAAATGCGGACTACTTTACAACAAAGTCAAACTCTCGTAGTCATTTAGCTTAAAATTTGTCCTTTCTGTATAATTCTTGACGTAATTTCCACCCTCAACGCTCTCTTCAGTGTTGACCAAGATTGATTAACACTCTCCCTTTTACCTTTTAAAAGTGGTATAATGTTTTAATTTTTTTTTACCGTAAGGAGTCGTCTTATGCTGTTAGTCCAAGTTTTACCATCTTTGCAAGTATATAAGTCTCCAGACTTTGCTACCTCAGCAGAGGCTCGGCTGTAGGAACAGGTACCTGAAATACGTTCATGACAGGTTTAGGAGTGTACTTATTCGCCATTTAGTTACAAGCGGAAAGTTAAATAGTTTTTTCCAAATGATATGGATGATGCACGTATAATTCAAATTTTCATTGTCCAAAATTTCGGCATTATAATCAACGAACCCGGAAATTTGCAACTCTTGTAAGAAATAATCCCGTATTTTTTCATAATTTATTCCGATAGAACGATTATCACGTTTTTCCAATTATTATCTGGCATTCTTTTCACGATCTAGGGCGGGCTTACTTTTGCCCCTTGTGAATTTCGAAGGAAATTTTTGGTGCCAAAGAGGAAATTAATAAAGTCTATAAACTGAATTTTAAAGGCACATTACATGATAATTTGTGAAAACTACGATAAATGGTGCCAGCTGGCAGTATTTTACTTGGGGGTTTTTGGAGGAAACCACTTCTAAATAGTCATTTCTCACATTTGCGGGGCCATTGCGAAAGTCGGGAATTCGCGAGCGAGCGTGCCACAGAAAACAGAAAATTTTGGAGGAAATTAAAAACTTTCTGGATGTGGGCCCCTTTAAGTCCAGGCCTTCAAATCCCTGATAACCCGGGTGCGGTGTCATTTTGTTCAGATAGTTTCTGACTTCTGAGATTATAAATTAATTATGTTTCAATTTGATTTTTTTAATTTTTTTTAGACAACGTATTACTTGGCAAACAAAATTTATCCTGCTCAGTTTTAATTGCATGAACTTTTCATGTTTGTCTTTTCTCTCAGACATAGCAAGTCTGTCTAGACGGGAGTGAGCCGACCAATTTGTTTTCAACCTTGAGCCACATACTCAACCACACCGTCAATCTCACCAGGACAACTAAAAAGTCAACAAAAAACCAAACAGTTCAAAGTTTTTTCAGCGCCGTATAGGATTCTTTCTAACCTTCTTGCTCAAAAGTTTTTGCAGAATGACTTGTAAACTATGGTTTTATGCAAATTACCATTACTAAATTGATTTTGCATTCTTGAGATCGATACAGATTTAGACAACAATCCTATGAACTCGACTTGCTAAGTATCGTATTCTGATATGAATCTGATGAATTCAGCCGAACATAGGGAAGGAGTTCTCGATTTTTCTCTGTTACGGTATAGTTTACTGTAAATGGAAGGACATCTAGTGCTAGGTACGGTGTTACAAGTTCTCTCTCCGTGCCCTGTCAGACCTACCCACTTATGCCGTTTATATGGACATTCAGCAGAGGTGTGATATCTGTTCATCCTAACAAACCCAAGAACCCATGACGTTTTGGGTTAAAACTCTGTAAGGGGGTAAGTCTTGCTCTAATTGATTCTGCTACAGATAATTTCCAAATTATCAGTTTACATTTTTTGTACACTGTTCATGTTGGTTTGGACTAGAAATCGAATTTCTTTGATTAACTTATTTTAATTTTGGTACCCAGCCTTGGAGTTGGAGAACTGCGATGTTGCTGATCTGCCAGAAACATATCTCTGCTGGTTTAACTTTAAGTTTGTTAAAGTTAGATTCAATGAGTACACTGTAAGTGTACAGTCATACCTCTATATTGGGATCGTGTCATCCCCGCTATACCGGATTTTTGTCTATATACTTTCCTTTTCCCCGATTGGCCCAGTATATACAGATACTATATAGAGGTTTCACTGTACTAGTATTAAATGTTTTCTTGGCGTGTACATTTCCTAACCCTCGAATCTAAAGATCCTAGAAAGCCGGTGAAAAACAGTCACGCCAAATAAAGGTACAGATACACAGGTGAAATAGAGGTTATCCCCCAGGAGACGCCACGTGACCCCACCTTGGAAATCTCGAAAGTTGGCTCCATTTCATCATGCTAATGGTCGGCTCCAGTGCTCCGTTTCACCATGGTAATGGTTTACTAAAACTCAGATTTATCCAACTAGTTGGATCTTCAAATCATGGTCACGCTTGAACTCAGTTTATAAGTTCACTATTTAGCTCAAGAAGGACTAA